AGATTCTCGACAACCCACGTCTTTGAAAGATCTGCTACAGTAAGGTTCCAAGAGATTTTAGAAAGAACAAAGTTGTGATAAAGAAGCAACTTATTTTTAATAATAATAATAATAATAATAATAATAATAATAATAATAATAATAATAATAATAATAAAAATAATAATTTGTTGACGATTTAAAACTCTATGCAAAATCAGAGAACAAAATATCAGTCGTGACAAAGAAAGTTAAGAAAATGTATGAAGATATTGGGATGTCCTGGGGCCTGGAAAAGTGTGCTTCTTTGCATGTAGTTAGAGGGAAAGTATCAAAGAGCGAAGTTTTACCAATAGGAGCAAACGATTCCATCTCAGTTATGGAGTCTAGCGACAAGTACAAATTCCTTGGAAAGTATGAACATTTCGAACAGCTGGACAAGTTCACGTTCCAACAAGCAGAAAAAGAGTATCTATGAAAATTGAATGTTATATGGTCATCACCCTTGTCAGTACCAAGAAATCAAGTGTCAGTTCTATGCTTAAACTAGAATACTTCATGGGGACAAGTAATTGGTTGATAGCAGATATTCAAAATCTTGATAGAAAAAGCAGAAAGGTAGTCGAGATGCATAAAGGAAAACACATCTCAGAATCAATAGCAATGCTCTATTTGCCACAGAAATGTGGTGGAAGGGGCTTCAAGTCTGTAAAGGATACCTATAAGATCTCAAAAATTGAGGTGGCACATTACACTAAAATAAACAAAGATCCAAGAATAAAACTGGTACGCTCGTTCCAACATTACAAAAGCAAAAAGAACTTCAAGTAAACTTTTGTCGAAGCAACAAGGTACGCAAAGGAACATTTTAAAGCTGACTTGAGCCTTTTAGAGGAAAAGTCTGTATTAAGGTATGGACAGGAAAGAGTGGAGTTAAAAGATGACAACTATATACAGATCCAACGCAGACTAGGAAGTATCCTTCAAAAACTATATGAAGAAAGAGTTAGAAACCAACCTTGGTTAGGATTCTACACGGTTTCAATACTAGATAGTGATGAAATATCAAAGAACAGTAGAAACATTTTTCAAAGCTGGAAAAACATCACAGATATAGTTTTATCGACAAATGAATCAATAAAGCAACAGTTACTACCTACCAAAGCGTATTCAAAGTACAAGTTAAAGATGGAAACTGCAAATACAACATGTAGTCTATGTAAGCAACAGGCGCGCAACCAGAAATTCCAGAGGGCAGGGGTCAAAGACACAAAAAGGGCACTAATTAAACTTCATTAAAGGTCCACCGGGGCATTTGTTTAGGTACGCCGAAAATATGAGCAGTTGGTAAATCTGTAAATATTGTACGCCAGACAAGGGAAACTGATCAATAGAGAAAAGTTGTGGTGTGCTATGCACATGACTTCTTTCTGTCTGCTATCTAGTGCCGCCGGGAAATTTAGGAGGCCCGAGGGAGGGGGGAAATGGAAAAAACAATGCCTCTTGCGAGCGAAGCGAGCAAACATTTTGCCACAACACCCTTGCAACTAGCTTAAATTCACTTATTCGTTGAAGATGTTTTACTTTTTAATTGTAATTTTGTTACTTTTAATAAATTCCATTTAAAAACGGAATTCATTGCTTTGTGAGGCTCCCTAGACCTCAAGGCCCTAGGGCAATTCGCCCCTTTGTCCCCCTCTCGGCGAACCTGCTGTCATCTCCTTTTCCCAGCGCCAGCTCACTTTTGAAAAGCAGCCCATCATCTTCCATATCCAAAGACATTTTGCATTTTAAAATATTATTATTGAATTCTTTGCTTCCCACTACAGATGGGAGGAGGCTGAACAGTTCCACGAGCCTTGCCTTCAGCTGGTTTCTGTCTCCAAGTCTTGCCTTCAGCTGATTTGTAATACTGATAAGGAACGGAACAGCTGAACATCAACTTTTTGTGCCATCTTTACTGCTTGCTAATACCAGTCCGAAAATATTTCTCTGCATTCGCTCGTTTCATGCAAAGGTCTTCTATGACCATGTCAATTATGTGACAGGCTTGAAAAATGTCTTGGTTTCTTTCTTGTAACTTTTGACCAGAGGTCGTAGAGGCTCTATCCCGTTCAAAATCTTGTGCCATTATTTTGGTTTTTGAGTCCCAGAACCATTCTTCTTCAAAGCCAGTACGTAGCGCATCATATAACACGCTGTAGAGTTGGGTTTGAAGATAGACTATTACTGCAACATGATGACTTTCGACCCAACAAGTACGTGAAAGTTTGACTAAATCATTTATCTGTATTCCTGCGAGGTCCATTACATCTCCGGAGTGTGTCATTTACTGTATGACCAACCATTCTAGCGTAATAATCAAAATATTCAAGCAATTTTCCAAGAAAAAGGGCACTTTTTCCCTTTTGAGAAAAAGGGCAGGGGTCTGGACCCCCAGGACCCCCCCCCCGTAGTTGCGCGCCTGAGCAAGCAGAAGAAACAGTCGTTCATTTGCTGTTCTCCTGTGCAGCATTAGCACAAACACTCTACAAGGCACGACACGATAGAATGTTAAGACCTATTTATCATCTAATACGAGCAAAGTTTAAATTTGATAGAAATAATCGTGAAGTTCCATGGTACAAGCAAGCATTACCTCTTGCAAGCCTCGAAAATGATTGTGCTAAGATTATGTGAGACATACCGATGCACTTAGACAAAAGACCACGTAACAATGCCATTAAGCCTGATATGCTGATAATTGACAAAGTAGGAAAAAAGGTCAGTTTGATAGAGGGGACTATGATATGCGTTTTTCTGATTGGCCTATTTCGATCCACAACTGGGTATATATTTTTCAAACGTGTTTTTTCGGAACCTATTCTGACGTTTTATGCTCTGAGGAGTGTCAGACGAAAAAGCTTTAAGTATGTTGTAAAATGTTTGCTTTTTTCAAAGCCATTTTCAGAGGGGACTATATGTGCACCTGGATGTATTGCCAAAAGAGAGAAAGAAAAACAAGACAAGTATTCTGAAGTGAGAAAGTCACTGGAACGGTTAAATCGTGGATACGAAATAGATCAAATCAATGTTGTATTTGACTTTCTAGGCTGTTACAGCAAGCAATTGGAGTGTCAAATCAAGAGACTATGTGAAGGAGAGAAGGAGGCAAAATTAGTAATCGAACAATGTCAACAATGGGTACTCAGCCAAAACTGCGAGATTGTTAAAACTTTTTACGAAAGAAAATAGAACAACAAAAAAAGTCTGCCTAGGCATTAGCCAGCAGTATAGTGGACACAAGAAAAAGCAACATTAACAATTTTGGCAATAATAATAATAATGTGTATTTTTCACATCAATAGCTTAGAGATGATTATGGCATATTTCTCATTTAGAACGTGAAGGGAGTCAATGCAGTGGCTTTGGTGCCGCGCATACATAGTTTGTATGGAAATGGTAATTTTGTGATTTTTTGAGAAAGACATACCATTTCAAGGGGTTTTCTATACTGTAATTATAGCATGCATCCAATCGTTGTGAATCAGAGTATAAACTCTCAAAACATTTACATTGATTTTGTAGTCAATCATCTGCAGCATGCTTGAATGTTCGAAAGTTTGCTTTCACGAAGCTGGGATGAAGAACAATAACGTGTGAAGTTGCATGAACCAGTAAAGCCGGTTTTCCACTAGGCGGAATTTTGAAGCTGGGTCCTAAACAGTGAAATTTTCCGAGTTTCCCATGCGCTATTTTGCTGCCAGCAAGCCCTTGGTATTGGCCCTGATTTTTTATGTTGCCTCGAGTTTTTCAAGCTTGCATTAGTTATGGATTGCGTTAACATACATTGTAAAAAATCTGTAAGGTTATGTAGTTTTTCGTAAACGTGTAATCAACATTCTATTTTTCCGTATTTTATTGGTACTTTGTCTTCTGGAGCGTTCTCTAAGATATGTTGTATAGGCCACAGTTTCCGTCATGACAGTGAAACTTGGAGGAGCATCTTAGAATTTTTATACACCTAACACGTAATATCTAAAGCATATAATTTTAGACTATCGCAATTCTAGACATAATTTTAAGTATATTTTCTTCGGCATATGTGTTATTGCCATCAGAAACATTTGTCAAAAGAACTTACTTCTTCAGATAAAGGGTTTTGTTTGACAAAAACCATCATATGCTCGATGTATGTTCCTATTGAACTGTTTTTCTTTAGTGGTGTGTATTCCGAGCTTTGACAAAACACGAGTTGTATCCCTACTGCAGGATACATTTACTTGGACTAAAGATCTTGAGCATTTTTGCGATAGGCTTTTTACGAGTAATTCTGGTGAATATCCAACCCCCCTCCCCTTCAGCAAGACAATTGTCAGCTCCTGGATAGCTAACTTATCTTTCTAATGTGGTTTCTGTCTGAAATCGAACTCTAAAATTTTAGTAAACTAAAGCTTCCCTTAGTAGCAGCTTCACAGTGGTATAGAGGCCATTTACTAAGGCATGTTCGTTCCAAAACAAGGTCCATTTAAGTCTCCAAAACATTTCGAACATCTGTTTGGTGGGGACTTTTCTTTTATGAAACAAAAGACCGTCAGTAGTGATACTGAAATATTGTGAAATAGAATGTTGTGTGATACAAAGAGTGAAATTGGATGTTGTGTGATGGAAGGTGAAAGTCTGTAATTTAAATAAGTTATGTGGAACTTTCTGTCGCAGGATTTACAGAAGCATTGTTCTTGAATCCATGTTTGCGTAGAAAAAATGCTCATTTGATGGAAAAATATATATGTTGTTATAAGGTTGCAATGCTTCAGTTGTTTATTTTCAGCAAAATCACATGTGGAAGTCACAATGGAAAGCAGTTTATAGCCATTTTACGAGCAAAAGCAACCACAAAAAAGAAAATAATGTGTCAAATATTTGATGGACGGGTTTTTATGCGAGCCAATACCAACAAAATTCTTTCAAAGAGTCGAGGGAAATTCCATATGAACTTGAAATAAAACTGATAGAAACGAGAAGAAAATAAAACTCTAGGATAATGAAGATACAACATTGTTGCAAAGAACTGAATTTTTATTAGCAACATCATGTACTTTCAGTTCTAATCATAACTGTTTTATCATGCTCTTTGTTCCGTCTTCAACAGAAGTACTTCAGTGAGCTTGATTGCAGGTAGATATGTAAGGTCGATCTCATGCTGAAGTTTTCCAAGCACTTTGGTTTGTTGGTGTCTTGGAAAAAGTACTACAAAAGCAATATATATATTTATTGGTTATTTGCAAAAACGTTTCATATGTTTATCGAGGATAATTTACCAGAAAAATTCAAAAATAACTGTGTGATCTCACAAAAGCTCGATAATTTTTTTATCTTATGCAAAGGATTGTATGCTTTTTCACCATATTGAATATAATTCTCATTTTATAAATTTCAGACAGCATTAGCAATCGTTATCCATTTTAGTTCTTTTCATATTTTCCTTTTTAGTAATCGGAAATGTTAGATGGAATAAGAAAGTGTATTACCTTAAGGTATGCCCTCTCGGGGTGCTCGAAGTTCTTATCTTGAGCATCACCACCAAGAGCCCAGCCAAATGCGTTGAGTTTGCCACCATTGTAAAGAAGGAAGACGGGAAAGAAATTATTGCAGTCCATGTTCGAGCTTATGTTGTGCCAATAATGATTCCCTGTGAAGACAAATAGCAATACACTGATGAAATTTGATGAAACCATCAAGAAAGGAAGTTTTGTTTTCTGAGGACCTTTTCGATGAGGAAACTCTCCAGACGAAGAAACCATCTAGAGGAAGAAGTTGTTCAGAAGAGGAGACTACAAGATAATGAAACTGTCTGAAAGAAGAAATTGTCTGAAAGAGGAATTTGTAAAGAGAAGGGGATTGTCCAGAGGAGGAAATTACCCAGACGATGAAATTATCAAGAGAAGGCAACTGTCCGTAGTTGAAACTTTTTGGAGCAGAAAAACGTTCTGGAGAAATAAACTATCCGGAAGAAGAGATTGTGCGGATGAGGAATTATCATATCAGAAAGCAAGTACGAGGAAACTGCCTTGAGGAGGAAACCGTCAGGGTGACAAAATTGTCTAGATTGGGAAACGAGGAAAAAACAGTCTAGATAAGGAAATTGTCTGGATGAGAAAATTGTCCAGAGGAGAACCCTACAAGACCTTATGTCCGGAAAAAAGTGAAATTATCTGGATACTTTCTTGGAGTCTGGTCACGTTAGGAAGTTTGAGTACTTTTTATCATAGAAAAAATGAAAATTTGCCTAACAAACAATATCTAGGGATGATGATCAAAACATATACTTCTAGCTGTGAACTCTGTTGAAGAGTTGGGTGTGACAGACTTTATAGACTGGTGTGCTATCGATAATGCATGATTGAAACTTGAATTTAACTTTAACATGCAAACATCCACTCAAGCATTAAGCAGTCAAAGAGCTCTACATCTCAAACCCAAAATTAAAGATATCGATTTTCAGAAGCAGTCATATTTTATATCTCTAACTATCTGAAAAAGAGCCGGTGTGGTTAAGTGCTAGCCATGACATCAATTCTGGATTACAAATGGTTATTTTTAAATATTGATCAGCAATACATACTATAGTATTGATTGCCAAAATATCGCCCCCTTCTGAATATTAGTTTTGGTCCCTCTTTTATAAATTATTTCTTAGAATAATCCCATGATGCTTTTCACGATTGCTCACGTTGGACTGCTCTAAAGAAGGACACAATAATTGATGATGCAAAAGAACAGGCTCATTATTGTAGTTTGAGCCAGGGTGTTGTCAAGTGACATGAAATGCACAGTTCAGAGCAGTTAATCAAAAACGTACCCATCTGATAAAAGCATTTGCCAAACTTCCAATTTGTTCCTTTCATTCCCGATTCCTGAAGAGGGACGCGGTAAAGGTGTTGCGGGGTGCTGCCATTTTGAATGTATAGCTGATTTCCAACGCAGCCAGAAGGGATAGATGGAGCTTTGCAAATCGTTGATGGGTGGTTGAAGTAAGCAGTTGCATGTCGTTTGCCGTTTTCCAATGGGAACATGCTAAGGTAGCTTGAAGGTAAGGTAGCTGTGCTTGGGAACTGGAAGGAGTATGAGTAACGTGATGCATATCAGATAGAGCATATTTTGCGAGAGAAGGGGGGTGAACTTCAAGAAACATAAAGTACACCGCAATAATTTAAAACTTTGAAAACAATGCAGTTTGGTTAGCCCAGATTCCAGGTTTCTAGAAAGAAATGAGCTTTACAGGCCTTCATTGTATCTTGCCCTTCATAAGCCTCATCTCAGCAAATTTGATAAAAGAGTTTCAACTGATTTTGCACGTTTAAAGGTAGTTCATTGGTTCATTTCAGCAATGTGATCAAAATCTGTTTTATTACGTTATCCTGTTGCTAAACTACTCGAGGGGAATGAACAATTTTTTCCAAATAAACCAGATCTTTTGAAAACTAGACTATTAACAAAATTGGTTTGATGCAAAATAAAGAGATTGCAAATATTAACAAACTAAATGAAGAAAATGAGAATTTAAAGCTAAGTTGATCAAATTAGAATGAGAACAAAAATTTCGTTTTTGCCAAACAATGGATGCAAATACTTGCCGCAGATTGAATTCCAGCAATGACGCCATTTCTATCATACAGTGCCATCCTTCCACTTTCGTTGTCCTTCATGTATCGATTTCCAACAAAGAACGAATGCTCTAAAGAAAAAGTAACTTCTTAAGAGCGGTTTTAACATCAACACATTCTTACATCAACTACGTAAATTTGATATAGCTAGGATAATTTATGATAATTTAGGATAATATAGAATAATGATGCAAAAAAGAGCTACTGTCAAAGTGGTTATTGGAAACTGGCTGCGGCTACTGTAGCCAATATTAAGTTCAAACAAAGCTTGGGCAAATGTTTAACTAGAATCTAGGTTCGGATGATGTAAAAGCCTTGGACGGGATTCACTGGCAAAGATCCTGTTCAGCATTGTGTTCTGTTCTTGATGTGACTTTTGGTACTGTGTCAGCTACAAATGAATACTTGGTACTTATTAAGCTGAATCCGAAATACAAATCATATGAAATTGTTTCTGTTGAATTATTGCTGAGTCAATTTGGATCACCGGCCTAAATCGAGCTAGCTGCTTTGTTCAGATCAGGTACGGTGGAAGCTCGTGGGCTGACAGAGTTTAGCTCTCTAACAATTTTCAAAATGTTGAATCTTTTCATAATTGGCTTTTGGCATTTTGAGCTCCAAACATTTCAGCCCTCTTCTCAAAAAAACCCAAAACTGCAGAAGCAGAAAAACCTACTTGGATATTGGAAAAGGGTTTTGTGGACACTGAGTAAAGATCAATTTGAGTCTTCGATTAGGATCGAGCTTGGTTTATGGTCCGAGGTACTAGTCCGTTTGGATTGTTGTTTATAAGTATGTAATGCATTTGTCTACTGAAATCCGAAAAATGCTCTTATAGAGAGCTACTAAACTAACATAAACATTAAGTCCTTGAATGTATCATGGAAATGAGCATGTGAAAACAAATAACGAATAATGAAACATTAATGGAAAATACAACGTCAGGGTCCTGCTTTATTGAAAATAGTAAAAATCTATTTAATTTTAGTGTATGCAGAATTTTTTTCAAAACAAGCTCACCATCGCAAGACTTTGTATCCGTCTTCTTCCATCCTTCGGCAATCGCTCCATGCTCAGTCATTGGAACATTATTGAACTTCATGAACGTTGCTAAAATGTAATTTGGCGTATCCATGTTTTCATAATTTTGAAAAACTAGTTCAGAAGTTGAGCTTTACAGATAAAAGTTTCTTGGTAAAATTATGCAAGAAAATAATCGAATACAAACCGTGATCAGAGCTAAAAATTTAAATCGTGCAGTCCGTTCTTTGGGTTTTTTACTAGTTTATTATGGATTTCAAAAACCTGGAATGATGTCATAGCCGGATGGATATCAAAATACTGCATGGTAGAAGTAGTAATAAGTTCAGTTCGGTTGTGACTTATGTAGACAAATAATCAAGAATAATCATACTATGATTGCTGCAATCTTGTGCCTTCCAGATGCTGCGTGGACTGATAACATCATGATCGAAACGACTAGTACCACAAGGTAGTACAGTTTAGAATAAATTTAGGGACAGCCATAACTCTCATTTCAGTTACAACTTTCCAAGCGTCAGACTTTAACCGGAGTCCGGAGTCAGAAGTATGGTATCTTCAACCAGGGGCGCAGTGGGAATTAACTTTGGGGGAAGGGGGGCAAAGCTGAAAATTTTCCGATAAAACTATGATTTTTCTGACAAATTTTTTCTCAATACATTCCTTGAAGACTACCCTTGCTGCATATACTGCAACACTTGATACTACAATATCACGAATGGATCTGGAAATCGTTAACGAATGGATCTTTCGTCATACGCCTTCAAGTTCAACAATAGCCTTTATTTTAACAAGACTTACCAAATGTGAATCGCTATGAACAAAATTACAGCCAGTTTAAGATTTACACCCTACAAGTCTCGCTATACTAGACAATAAACTATTTCGTTAGTGGTTATAGCAAAAAGTTTTTTCTAGGCAAGTTTTAAATCGCATCACAATTACTTTGCACTTATTTATGCTAAACTTTAAATAGATATAACGCACCAAAAAAAATAGTTTTCCTTTGAATGATACTTATAAAAACTGTTGCTCAAGCAGCATTTTTCTCAAAAGAGGTGTGGCAGCATACAAATCGATGATGTCACCATAGTCTATTGACTGCATAGTATCACTTCTTACGTTGATTGTCATCAGAGAGGAGAGGCGGTCTTATCCCATCGTTGACCGTAGCCAATATTTTACAATCCTCAGCTTTGAAAAAGCTCTTTCATATGAACCTATTGGCAAAGTGACGAGAATCTTGTAAAGAAGGACCAGTTGTGGAAAGGCAGGTTGTACTTTATCACCAGCTGAAACACTGAATGGAAATTTTCTCTGTTTAAAGCAAAACTTTCTCCTACAGCTGGCTGAGGGTTGCTCTTCTCTCTAACTTTTCTAAATTTATGGTAACTATTGGCGAATTCATTTCTTTATTTTTCGTCATCCAAGCCGTAATTCTTCGCAACCTTTTTGAATTACACTGCACACAACTGCCTTTCAATTGTTTGAAAACATTCAGGGTTGAGCAAGGCAAAATCTGTCAAAATTGCCTTTTAAGACGTGAATCTTCTACTCATTGAGCTGATAGCTGTATCTACAATCATGATAATATATGAATTCCCTGTCCCCATCTTATTCATCCATGCAATTTTCCCCTAGCATCTTTTCTTTCTGCGTATTCGTCGCTCGACAAAATTTTGCTCTTCTAAGTCATGGCAAAAATAATAACTTTTTGCGTCTTCTACAACATCAGCGAATTCATTTCGAAATGAACTGAGTTGAACTTCAGCTACAGGAACCCTTAATGTGTATCCAAAAATTACAAGGATGTGAAGCTAGCAAAATCTCCTGAAATATCATTTTTCTATTGTAGGAAAAAGCTTTGAAACTAGATATTTAACAATGTTGTTACCCCGGGACCGCGCGCCAGTTTAAATGTGCGAGGGCTGAAATAGACGTGACCGAAAAATTTTGAGGCCACGCCTTCTAGAACACCGGAAAATGACCCTTTTAGAAAATACTGGCTTATTTCTACAGGAGTTTTATAAATAATCTGTTTTAGGGAAGATATCAATAGCTATAAAATTAGGTAAAATTAGCTTGAGGACAATAAACCATCAAGAAAAACAGCTAGAAATTGAATAAAAAGGGTTCCTAGTCAAGAAGACTTGCTGCTGCTGAGCAGAGGAGTATACTATCCAATGTTGCTTTAGAGCTTAGTTAGAACAAACTTTCCAAAAGGTTTTCCAATATATTATTTCAAAAAGTGGAGGGGCTATAGCCCTGCTAGCCCAATTGCTGCGCGGTGCCTGTGTCAACCTCGTGATTTCGAAACTTTAACTTCAAAAAAAGAGAACAAAAAGAAAGGGACATATTTCTTATGTATATTTCTCATGTAAAATGCAGTTTCAACAGGAGGGCTTTAAATGTACATTAGTGCTTGGCCGGACACCTCGTGATTGAGAGACCTCAAACATCTATCCTGCTGTCAAAGCCTCGCTTAGGACAAAAATATCCCGGGCGAATATGATAAAATCAAAGCAACAACGAAGAATATATTTCAACATTCTTTGAGCAGCTTGAAAGCTCAACATATTGGTTGCATGGGCGATGTCTGCAATAACCTTTCTGCAATAACTCTTTTTGAATTCTATCCATCTTTCAATTCTTCATAAGATTAATTCTCGAATGCAACTTTTTACAGCTAGTTTTATAAAATATACACTCTTTTTTATTAGAACAATTTTATAAGAACACGAGCCTCAAAACTGGTCAAAAGTTAAGAACAAATTAAGAACAAGCTGAGGCTGAGCTTCCGCAAAATGCAATTTTGAACAACGTTTTTTCTCAAAATCGAGGATTTTTAGCGATGTGTTGGTGCTTTTTCGGTGAATATTCAAATTTGTCAGCAAATTAAGGCTGTCTCACTTACTCTGTTGGCAAATGAGGCATGAATACCTTCTTAGAGCGAAAAAGCTAGCAATAGCACTGCTTACACCCTCTTAATTTAAAAACAAATTAAGAACAATCCAGCCTCAGATTTTCGAAAAAATTAAGAACAGTCAGCCTGAACTTAAATTTACTGGTTCTTATAAAAAAAAGAGTGTAATCTCTTGTAATAAAGGGATGGACGTTAAAAAAAGAAACACTTGTATTGGAACTCGATCTCTTTTCTGTGTATGAGATTGATATATTTGCGACAACAAATCAACTTAATTAGGGCAAAGATTAAGCAAATATTTTAGAACCTGATCAAACTAAAATGCAAGGAAAACACAATTCGCCATGTTTGTTTTCACATAGCTGTAAAAACTTCGAAGCTCATTTGACATTCAAACTTAAGTTTCCAGAAGAATTCTGAATAAATATCCAGAATAAACATTGAGGAATACTATTTGATAATCATTAATATATCCTTCAGCTGAATAAAGATGTTTTGGGAATGTTACCATCTATGTTTACTTTTGCTGTCGTGATTGTCAGGTTATTCGCGTGTGTTTGATAAGCCATGGCAACACAAAAATTCTCTATTTTACAAAGAAATCATGTGAAATAAAGTAGGGGGAAAGTTTAGTCACTTATGAAAAACTAGAAACTTTCCCCTACTAAATTTGCAAATTAGATGCTTTTCTCCGACTAATGCATGGAATGGAACTATTTTTGGACTCAGGCTTGAAGGTTAACAACATGATTTTCTTTCAAACGTAAACAACATGCAAGGGTAGTGCAAAGTGGTTAAAGAAAAAGGAATAGACAAAGAGTAATTTGCGATAAATTTAGTCAGTATTCTTTAGTTTTTTTACTTGGCAATCGTTTCTATGATAATCTAACGTTTGGTGTCTTTCATGCAACATTCCTTCTGCAATACAACAATAAAATACAACACAACATGACAACAACACAATACAACACATTACATTACATCGCAACGCAATGCAACACAACACAACAAGCACGTTACACTATAATAACACCAAAACATAGTAAGAAAACGTGGAAAAACACAATTAACACGACTCTGCACAAACCAAAACATCCAATCGGCTTACAATGCTATTTCAACAACTTCCTCGCTACTAATTTTTCAATTATGGACTTACTTGTAAGCTTGTCCCAACCATTTGGACCTAAGAGAAAGAAAAGGGTAGAGATTAAAGAATCTAAATTATTTTGCTGATTTATCGTAACACCTATAGCACGGTTTAATATCTTAAACACAGGAAAGGACATTTGAAATAATAAATGAAATGGACTGTAGGATTGTAAGATTATGATGTTCTTAAGTGTCGAGCTTGTGACCATTGTGATAGATGTCTGAATTCAGAGACTAGCAAAAACGCACAGGTATACTTCACCAGATACACACTTCCTTCGAGCTTTAAAAAGTTGAAAGGAAAGGAATCTGTAAAGTTGCCAAGAAATTGAATTAGCTAAGAGATTTACTAAAAAACTTATAAAGATCCTTTTTTAAAATTAACAATGCTTTTTGCTCCTATTGTTCTTAAACTATGGTGCCCCAAGTAATTCTATCCTACCAACGGGACTGGCACAGCAATGTCTTCTCAGCACCCCTCTGTTTCGTGTGTTTATCGCCATGCTCTTGAGTTTGGTCAGAAAACCCAGCTATAGTCCCGCAATATCGTTTTCCTGGCCTAATGTCTATGCATTTTGAAAAGATGACTTTGATAGAACCAACTAAAAGAGAAGTCCATAGCTGTAATGAAGGGCAGGCAATGCTTCTGTGATGAAGAGGGCAAAGGGGCGTTGGCCGCTCCTGTTTTTAATCTTTTTTGGGATTTGTAGAAGAACTTGGGTGAACATGTTTCAAAACAATAGGTCTGCGCTGGCACTTAACTATTTCTCGGACGCTTACCCTTAGATTTACCGGAAAATTGGTCGCTTGCTTCTCACCCCTACATAACGTGATCCTCACGGACCCCTAATAATAGGATGGCTAGCGAGAGCAAAATGTACTACAAACCTCAAGAAATGAAATGTAGAAAATACGGTCGTGTTTCAGTAACAGCTGAGTTGGAGATAAAGGTGTTTTACTGATTACGCAACGCTGATGAAATAAGATAAGGTGTAGGCGATTTACAGTTTGATCTTTAAATCTCTAGCCTATCACTAGTTGATGTAAAGCATTTCATATAATTTATAGCATACAACGGCTAGAGGTGTGTATCAAGGGTTCTTTTAAATGAGCGAAATTTTCCAAACTTGAAGCCCACAGACCCTAAGTGACCCTAACTGACAGATTGATGGTGTAGATTTCACGCATCTATAGAGTTCCAAATTGTGACGTCATCAAAAACCTATTTTCAGACTTTTTGAATTTTAACCACATAGCGTAAAAGATCACCATGAAATATTTTCAAATACGCAAAATTGGCCAAATATGTCTAAAATCGGTTGAGATATTGCTAATGAAAGATTTGAAGTTTGCTAACGAATCACTGTTATTTTTGCTCTGTTCATAAAGTTATGTACAGAGACCAAAATACAGAGGTTTGATGGGGGAAAGTAACCAATAAACATGTGGCCATATTTCTGCCAATTCATAACAAACTTGCCTGATTTTGCACATTTAGAGGTATTTCTTGATGCTCTTTTAGGTTATGGGGTCCAAATTAAAAAATTCTAAAAATAGATTTTTGTGACGTCATCACTTTAGAACTCTAGTGCGTCAGAGGTAACTATTTTATCAAATAAGGAGTTGTGCATATACTGATAAAAGCACCTTAAAAAATAGAGCCCAGCCTTGAATGCTTCATGATGCCGTGTAGATTTCATACTCATTTGTGACGCACACGCATTGATTTTATAAGAAACAAAGATCAACATTGAGTACTCCAGTTTCTTTATGGTTTAGGAAATTTCAACCCTCGATGTTCCCTAAAAGTTATTTTGGGTCCAACTTTAAATTTTTCTTTCTAGGAAATCTTCCGACAGAACTTGTGTCGAAAGGTCTAACAATTTTCCAACAGTCTAAAACTCGTGAACTTTGACAAACTCTACAAGCCTGAAACAGCAAAAGTCATGTTTCAAATATATAAAGAGAATATATATAAAGACAAAAATCCGTCACCACTACAATACAAGACAGTCTTTCTGCCTTGGTTTCTCCCTGAAACGATTTCTAGAATTTTAAGAGAAATTTTCCTACCTTACCATTAACATTACCTTTTAGGGTCTATTCCTTAGAGTCTTAACCAAATTGAGCTTGACGCAAACAATCGTACGTACTATAAACCCTTTTTTCCTTTTATCTTTTTTTATCTCATTATGTTCTATTTTGCTTTTGAGTTACTTTAACACTTGTTCGGGAGACAAAACCTTCAGTCCTTTGTTTCAAAACAATACCGTCTTAAACAAATAACTGTTGCAGAGTCATTGCAAACAGTATTCGCACAACGGTTCTGCCTATGACCTCTTGGACTTGCATGGCTATTGCATGTCTTGATGACGGGCATGAGTCATCTCCCGAAAATAAACTTGATCGTAATGTGTTTGTGACCAAAAATTTGTAATGTGTTTATCGTCCAACCACGTCATCTGGGCACATGGCTTTGATAGCTCTGTCTTGAGTTCTCTCCAGCTAATTTAGTAAACTCAGGCCCTTAGACAGCTAAACTGGATTGAGGGAAGGGGGGCCTGGATAAAAATATAGCTTTTTCTATACCTGCCTTACGAAATATGGTCAGATCAAGCTGCGCTTATAAGATCTTCAAACACAATTCTCGCAACGGGCCTGCTTTATCTTCCGATTTACGTTAACGACAGTAATTAAACAACTATGGAATGACGAACATGTAATTAGATTGGCATGCTGAAAAATTTTTGAGTTTGAGTTTCAGCCTTGCGCTTGAAGCTGCAAACAGCAAGACTTGTAGCCTTGGCAATGTTTCTATTCCAGTGATCCGCATAGCTGCAGAGCTCACGCCACGAGTTTGAAAGCGGGGGTGGGGGGGGGGGGGGGGCAAGGCTAACGAAAGTGAGGAGCCAAGGCTTCTTTCACCTTTCATTACAGCTTTGAAATTATTTGCCTAACTTTTAAAGAAGGAGTTAAGAACAATCTAGTCTCAAAGTTTAAGAACAAATAAAAACAGCCAGCCAGAACTTCAAAATACGCAAATGAGAACAACCAGAAGACAAGAGTGTAAAACGTTTAGTAGAGGTGACATATTACTGCTTTGATAAATTTATATGAAAGTTATATTTGGCGATTTATAAGACAAACATGTGACATAAAATTTCTAAGAGTACTTTTGATAATAAGCTGGCTAGATAATTAATCAAGTAATATGAAGTCGAAATAGTAATAAAAGTATAAAAATTTGCGGAATAGCAGGCACCCCACGGATGTATGATATTAAAGTTAAAACATCGCATATACTGGTAGCAAACCACCAAGATAACCAATTTCTTAAGCGTCTAATAAGTTAACCAATTTCTATAGCGTCCACCCTCCCACTCCAAAAGTTGCCCCGGCATCAACGAATAGGCAAGAAAATCACAAAAATGTTGTTCACGACACTCAGGATGCTTGGCCATAGACGAGAATTGTTACATGTACTTTATTTTGAAATAAACTAGGAACAATATACAGATCAACAAATCTTATTTCACTCACAGCTAGGTCCAAATAGAAACTGCTGGGAATGGTGCAATACACCAAGAAACAATATTGCAACTAGCCGCTTTCCTGCAGATTCCATCTTGTCTTGTCAGCTACTAATCACAAGTGAACAGACAGCTGCCAAAACAGGATATTTATAGCAAAGGCCTGATTTGCTTAGCCTCCTCCCTGGGGTCGCCTCTGATGATTTCCTACAGAAGAAACCCGCATAAAAGAATCTAGGTTTTTTCTGGCAGTCTGAATAGGTTCTTAATTAACAGGCCGCTATTCTAAATTCCAGTCTAAAAGGTTCTTAGCAAGGTTCTTATATACGTACATGCCTTGCACACATTAACAATGTTTTCCACCGCAAGGATTCTAACGGACACACATAAACCAGCCATTTTTTCATGTTAAATTTCAAGCCAATCAAATTAATTTGTGTTGTTAGATTGTCCAATTAGAATGTAACATAGCATAACCTGATTTAATCTAAGCTGGTTTATTTTGACAGTGTGAATAGGGTGTGAAATACCTTTTCAAAAATACATATAAGAACCTTTCCAAATGACAGCCTCTTGGGGGTTCTTAATTATGAGGTTTAAAAGATTAAATTTCAGCCTCAAGGTTCTTATAAAAGCAAGTTCTTTTATGTGGGTTTCTACTGTACTTGAAGTTTATGTAAATGGAAACAGTTTGACCACATAATCTTTTATTTAGTATGCAGAGCCGATTCGCGCCTTTAAAAAAATTTTATATAAGAGCCTCCGAAAATTATAACGAAGATATTAAATACGAAATTCTTTCGTTTAAATCTAGTAATAAAGCCTTCGGACACCCGTAATCGCTTCGAACTTTCAGGTACATCGACCTTGTTGTGAATCCAAATAGCTTGCAAAAATGCTCTGCTCTCAAAGTTTGGAACGATATGGAACGAAAGTTTGGAATTGTGCAATAAATTATAAAGATTCATCCCCTTGAAGAATAGCATTTTAGATTGTAACTGTACTTTTCTAATTCAACTAATAAATTTACATTTAATTAGGATTGTTTTAGTATAGCTGAAGGGCTGCATCATGTATAAAGAAATATTATCATCATTATTATTATTATTATTATCATTATTATCAGAGCTCACTGTTGGCTTCGAATCCAATCTTAACACAAATGCTACAAGAAAACACAGCAAGTATGCTCCTCTTTTATCTGTTTTACAGCGGCAGTTCAAATGTGTCTCCTTTGTTAATCTTTCTATGAGCTCTCTTGGCATCTTCGGCAATTTCTGCAATTCATTCTTCAAAATGTGTGACTCTCTCTCCATCGATCAGCAACAAAAACGGTATCTCATTTCTAAACTTTCCAACATTGCCATCCGTACTACGTACTACATATTTTGTTGCAAAAATACGCCATGGACAAATCCGGAATTACATCCTTTTTAACTTTGGTTGTTTTTTTTCTCAGTTTTTCCTTTTACCTTACGATTGTTATAGTTTTTCTTGTAAAACCAGGCTAGCCAATTGCAAATTACCTTGTAATAGTGAGATTTATAATTGTGGTTTAAGTTGAATTGAAAATGAAAAGTTTCCATTATTATTACTGAAATCTTATAACAGAGATAAACTTCCCCAAAAGAGCTTGTGCTTGCGCAAGCCTCTTGAGCTTTGCGGTAAGCTTTCTTCCAGCTGCTTGGCCTTACATGTTTGTTGACCTTATAATCTCTAGATCAAACTCATCAACTACTTGTATTTATATATACAAGGGTCTCAATGAAGTGCATAATGTGTGGATTGACAAAGGTGGTAAAACGAACACCTGATCTAATATCTTGTAGTCCGAGCTGCTCTTGATGCTAGACTAGGAACTCCGATTACAGACAAAGCCAATATGGCTTCATACAGAAGCGTAGCCAGGGTGGTATGATTCGTAGGGTGAAGGGGGCAAAGGTAATTTGAGCAAGGAAAGATTGGGGGTCCGTAACACTCATTTGAACGCCAGAAAACCCCCTTGCGATGCTTGTGATGCCGATCATCGGGGATCATCACCGATGAAACAAATAAACTAACAATGACGATGCTGTATTCAATTTACGTCAATTGGCTCAAACGAAAGTGTAATTATTATAATCGAAGCAATTAGAAAATAAGGTAAACAGAAAAACTACATCAGAAAGACACAAGATACAGTTGAGGCTTAGTTACACTAAACCAAAAACCTTAATTACGACTAGGCAATGAAAATTTACGTGAAAACCCGAACAAGATTCTCTGTTTCAAAAAAGCCTTGAATACCATCATCAAAGGCTTAGCAATAAACTTTCCAGCATCTTTTACAATTTTTCTTTGATATCCATTTGAACCGGGTGCCTTTCCATTTTTCACTAGATTTAGAGAAGTGAGCATTGCATCTTCACTCATTATTTTAAATGAAAATCTCTGGTCTACACCAATGGTGTGCAAATATTCAATCGGACCATCGTCAAGCTTAACCTCTTCCTATAAAATCTCAAAATCTCCAAAACTTTTTTTGGCACTTAAAGAACTTGGTTCCATTTTTTATTCAGAAATCTTTTCTCCCAATTTGAAAACATGATCTTTGCCCCCACTTTGTTTGTAATGCAGAAACCAAGCACCAGATCTCAATTTTTCGAATTATGTCAAAGTTGTCATAAGATTGTGCTAGATTTGCAAAAATTATGCTAAATTCAAATCAAGGCAACTCTGCTAGAGACGTAGGCTAATGCATGCTCAAAATATCAAAAGTGGCCAGAGTTGCAATTTGGCCTTTTTGACAACCCAGTGTACTCATTCTCTATAAACAAAATGGCAATTGAGGCCAAATTACTCCATTTTGGCAGTAGCTCAAAACCTCTTGGCCGTCATAAATTGATTTGGCCGAAGAAGCAAAATTTGGCTGAATTCTGGCAGCATGTTGCAAAAAACAACGAAAATGCAAAGGAAACAAAAATTTTTGTACAGATAATATCCAAAACTTTTAAAAATAATTTCAAAATTGCAAATGATGAATGATGAAACGAAGTAAAAGATAACAGACAGTTTTAGATAAATGCAAGTGAAACTTTTGTAACCTACAAAGCAAATTTATGCTAGATTTAATGCTAGATGACGATTTTTGGCCAGGTCACACTGGCACCAGCCCACAAGGGAGTGGCTGGAACGGGACTAGGAGGCTTACCCCTACATTGTTTTACGGCCACGCCTTTTGAAACACAGGAAAACACCCCTTTCAAAAAATATTTGTTTCTCTCTGTCCTTATTCATAAACATAACGATTAAGAGAAGATTTCAATTAACATAAAAATGCAAAACCGAGTTAGATAAAATACAAATTTATCTTTGACCATACAAGATAAAGCACCATGGAAAAGAACAAAAACGTGTTCCCAGCAGAACTGCTACTAATGCGTTCGCTAGCGTAAACTTTAAACGCATTTTCTAACCTATTATTGCAAAAAAGTTGGGGAGGACTATAGTCCCTGTTATGCAACATTCCCAATTTAATGTTCCTCCCAGCTATCACCGAGAGGCTTATCATCGTTCAGCTTTTGTAGCCTTGAGAGGAATCTTTCCAATGCTTCCCCAATTTAAAACACCTTAGTTGAATTGTTTTACAACTTTCTCTAAAATCTACTGAAAGATTACACATAAACCCCAAAATACATTACGGGCAAGAAATCATAATCTCCGCCGTGGTCTTTTAGCCTCAGTGTTTTTTTTGAAGCAAGTCATAAAAGCAAACTAAATTGAGATGATGTCTTGAAGCTGTATACAGAGTGAAAGCAAACTTCAGTACAAGCTGTATACAGAGTCCATCTTACTTCAAAACAGCACACAACAATATCATAAAGCGTAATTTATTTTCCTCCACATGTGCTGAAGCTTCGAGCTCTGAAGTTTCTTATTTCTTCTTTATTGTCCATTGCTGATTTCTTATCGCAATTTTCTTATAACAAATGAGTGTAATACATTAGGCTGGGATTAGGCATTAGGCTCGAATTGAAAAAAGGTTCCCATTTCTTTCTTAGGCGTTTCGATTGGTATTTTATGCTGCACTTTTTTTAACATGCATTATTTACAAATCCACAAAAATTACAGTTCCACAATTTTAATTTACAACTCCACAAAGTGAGTCAGATCCACGCTTATTTTAGGCCCTGTATCACATTAGTTCCTTAGGCTGGTTGATACAAGAGCCACACTATGATCGGAAAGCTATTTCAGGCCCTTTAAACGTCATTTTTAGTCAAAGAATTTTCTATGTCTCTCCTTTGATACTCAACTTTGTCTTTGATATTTAAGTTGTATCTTTGCATTCAACCTTTCATTAAGGAGTCTCTGATAGAGTGATGGAGCAATCGCAAGATACAATTCGCCATTAATTTGTTCTAGATAGTTTGATAAAAAGGAATATATCGAACTTAATTCATGGATCTTATGTATGTATCTATGTATATACAATGCTTTATTCATGTCATTTCTACAATATGGCATCACTGTCTGGGGACAAACATATGACTCATACCTGGAGCCAATATTCAAGCTGCAAAAAAAGGCTGTCAGAGCTATTTCTCATCAACCCTTTCTTTCTCCCTCTCTTCCCATTTTTAAAAAGCTTAAACTTCTCAGACTTCAAGACATTTTTCAGCTAAGACTATTAACATTTGTGTATGAATCTATAAACAAGAAAAATCCCTCTTGCTTTCACGATTACTTCTCTTTCAATGCAAATATTCACCAACACTCTACTAGGCAATCTAATCGCGGTAATTTGTTTTTGACTCATAGGAACAGTTTTCGGTATGGCCTGAAGTCTATTCGATATATGGGGGCAAAAATGTGGAATGACCTACCAGTAGAAATTAGAAATTCTCCTTCAAAATATTATTTTAAAAACAATCTTAAAATGTTTTTACAAAACAACATAGTAGTCAATGATGGTTTTTAAACTTAGTCTATAAATAGATGATATTTTTCTGTGGATGACTGATAGCAACTTACAGATGATTCTTTTTACTTTTAGAACTAAAAAATTAAGCAGAACGCATCTAATTTACTAGGGGGTGCTTTCTCCTCGATTAGTTTATAAACTACTGAGAACGTTTCCTCCTTTAAATAATTCCCTGTT